AGCTTGTGAAATATCAGGCCTAGTACACACCATAGCATACATCAAACTACCAACAACATTTGCATAAGGAATTTGAGCCATGTACTGACTCTCTTCAACAGTTTTAGGAGACATAGAAGCACTAAGTTTGAAATGAGGGGCAAGAGGTGTACTAACCGGTTTTGAATTTTCATTCATCCTGAAACATTGTAGTACCTTCTTCAAATACTGCTTCTGACACAAACTAATCTTGCCCTTTGGTCTATCTCTTTCAATTTCCATACCTAGTATCTTCCGAGCTTCTCCCAAGTCCTTCATCTCAAATTCATTTCTCAGTTGAGTCTTCAACCTTTCAATCTCCACTTTGCTCTTACATGCTATAAGCATATCATCAACATATAAAAGCAGATAAATGAAGGTTCCATCTTGTAGTTTACGAAAGTATACACAATGATCATAGTGACTTCTTGTGTACTTTTGCCCGATCATAAATCGATCAAATCGCTTGTACCATTGTCTTGGAGACTACTTCAAGCCATACAATGATTTTTCCAATTTGCAAATCCAATTTTCCTTTCCAGCAACCTTAAAACCTTCTGGCTGAGACATAAAAATCTCTTCCTCCAAATCACCATGTAAGAACGCAGTCTTGACATCAAGTTGGGCCAACTCAAGATCAAACTGCACAACCAAAGCCAACAGAATACGAATAGAAGAATGTTTTACTACAGGAGAAAATACCTCATTGTAGTCAATGCCTTCTTTCTGAGCATAGCCTTTAGCTACCAATCTGGCTTTGAATCTTACATTGTCTTTTCCCAAAGATTCCATCTTTTTGGCATACACCCATTTACAACCAATTTCTTTCTTCCCCTTTGGTAACTGAACCAGCTTCCAAGTCTTATTTTTATGAAGAGATTTCATCTCCTCATCCATAGATTTCTTCCACAACTCGTACTCTGAACTCATGACAGCTTCTTTGTAGGTGGATGGAATATCATCTTCAATAACGGGAAGTGCATATGCCACAATATCAGTAAATCGAACTGGCTTTCGAATTTCCCTTCTCGATCTTCTGGTTGCAATATAGTCTTGTTGCTGTGGAGGCTCTTGTGTAGGTGCCTCTACTTCATCATCCACGTCTTCATCATCAGAATTAACTGTAGGGCTAGGGTTTGTAACATCGGACCTTACTGGGACAACTGGAGTCTTCAGTAACTCCACCTGCTTTGTGTTGCTCATGATCTTGGCTGCTTTAGTTTCACCTTCATGCTTGTTCTGATTAACCATAGCAGCCTCATCAAAGGTCACATCTCTGCTTACAACAAATTTCTTCTCATCTGGACACCAGAGTCGGTATCCCTTCACGCCAGTGCTAAAGCCCATAAATAGAGCTTTCTTTGCTCTTGGATCCAACTTGCTTTCTCTTACATGATAGTAAGCAGGACAACCAAATATGTGTAAGAACTTGTAATCAGTACAAGGTTTATTAGACCATACCTCCATGGGCGTTTTGCCCTCGTTTGCAGCAGCTGGCAATCGATTAATGATATGGCTTGCATAAGTGATTGCCTCAGCCCAAAATGCCTTGCTTAAACCAATATTAGATAACATGCACCGGACTTTCTCAAGCAACGTACGGTTCATGCGCTCCGCCACTCCATTTTGTTGTGGTGTCTCCTTAACCATAAAGTGCCTCACGATACCCTCATCTTGACAGACTTTCAAGAAAGGATCAGACTTATATTCACCCCCATTGTCTGATCTGAGAGTCTTGATCTTTCGATTGCTTTGAGTTTCAATCATCTTTTTCCACTTCAGGAATATTTTCAAGACTTCATCTTTACGCTTCATGGTGTACACCCATATTCTTCTAGAGAAGTCATCAACAAAGGAGACAAAATAATGGCTACCTCCCCAAGATGCATTCTTGGAAGGTCCCCAAACATCAGTGTGAACATAATCAAGAATGTTTTTAGTGTGGTGAATAGCAGTGCCAAATTTTACCCTAGTTTGCTTACCAAACACACAATGCTCACAGAATTCCAATTTGCATGCCTTTGCACCTTTCAACAAGCCTTGCTTCACCAATCCTTGCAACGCTTTTTCACCAGCATGCCCTAGACGCATATGCCATAACCTTGTGGTGTCTGTGCTATCGTCAATAGCTTCGGTTATGGCTGCTCCACCAATAATTGTACTTCCCTGCAAGAAATACAAGTTATTTCGTCTTATACCTTTCATCACCACCAGTGCCCCGTACACAGCTTTAAGAACTCCACTCTTCATGGTGATCTTAAGACCCTTGGATTCCAAAGCTCCCAGAGAGATAAGGTTTTTCTTCATATCCGGTATATTCCGAACATCACTTAATTCTCTGACTGTTCCATCATGCATCTTCAAACAGATTTTGCCTATCCCTTGTGTTTTGCAGGCATTATCATTACCCATCAAAACAACTCCACCATCCAGCTCCTCGAAGCTAGAAAACCATTCTCGAATGGGACATATATGATAGGTGCAACTTGAATCCAAAATCCACTCCTTGGAGTGACCATTAGTAGATGAACTAGCCAAAGAAAACTCGAGATTATTATCTCCTTGGTTTACAATATTTGCTTCAGGGCCCGCTTTCTCATTCTCTTTGTTCTTCAATTTGGGGCAATCTCTCTTCCAATGACCCTTTTGGCGGCAAAAGGCACATTCATCTTTAGCAGGAAACTTCCCTCGTGACTTTGAACAAGATTTTCCCCGTTTCACATATTTTCTTTCCACTGTTCGACCCCTTGCAACAAGTGCCTCGGTTTGTGAATTGTGAGTCTTTAGTTCCTTCTTACGACACTCATGATTCACCAATGCCGCAGACACCTCATCAAGTTTCACCTCGGTTTTTCCATACAACAAAGTAGTTGTCAAATGATCATAATCATCAGGCAATGAATTTAACAAACATAATGCCTTGTCCTCGTCAGGAATTTTCACATCAAGGTTTGCTAAATCAACAAGTATTTTATTATAATCATTGAGGTGTTCATGCATAGAAATACCTGGACTATACTGAAAACGGAAGAGTCGTTTCTTCAGGAAGAGCCGATTTTCTGCGCTCTTGGTCATATACTTTTCCTCCAATTTTGTCCATAACTCCTTGGCAGAAGTTTCCTTCATATACGGGTATTTCAACTCCTTGTCAAGAAATGATCGAATAGCAACACAAGCATGAAGATTAATTCACGTCCACTGCTTGTCCTCAATATCTTCTGGTTTCTCTTCCAAAACCATATCCAACTCTTGTTGATACAAGACATCCATAACTTCACATTGCCACATACCAAAATTATTAGAGCCATTGAATTTATCAACCTCTAACCTTGTAGTAGCAATTTGGTGTCTATTGGATGTAGGTGCCGACTTCTTCTTCTTCACAGGTTCACCTTCATCTCCAGCCATTTTCTTCGGCACTATTCACGGGAATGCAGCGCCAAGAAATTTTCCCTTTTTTTTTTTCTTCTTCATTCCCACGAAAAAAACAAAGCCCTAGTCGAAAAACTGGGCTCTGATACCACTTGTTGTGCGGAAGCTTCAACAAGTGTGAGTGAAAAATAATAAACCCTAGAAACTGATAACAGATAAATGGAACAATACCAACAAGAACACCAAGATTTATACTGGTTCGGCAATGCCTACATCCAGTTTGGAGACGACGGAGTATTTCACTATAATCAATGAGAACATACAATAGTGTTTATCACTCAATTTTCCAAAGACCCGAATAACCCAAGCTCACACACTTACAATAGGAAGAGAAAACCAAAATAATACAAAGCAAGACAATTTGAGAAAATTCTTCTCTATGCCGAATGGCTTCTTGCTATTTTCCTTTCTTCCTTGTTATATTTGAGTTATGCCTACACCTCCTTTTATAGGCCAAGGCCTCTCATCAAGTAATAAAGAATTAGGCATAAGTGCATCTCCCACCTGTAAGTGCATCCAATTTTTATTTCCCACCTGTAAGTGCATCCATTTTTTATTTCCCACATGTAGCATGCCAACCATAAAAGTAGCCGAAAGTAGCCGACATCATTTGTTGGTTTTAGACTACTTTGTTTGAGCCAATAATCAACAAGTGATACATCAAGAGATTTTATTTAAGTGGTAAAAAAATTTATTTCTCCCGTCCTTCACGGCAGCCCGCCCAGTATATCACGCTACAAGTCTACACACATGGCGCAACCTCAGTTATCTGTGTGGCTTGTTTGTCCAAATTCAAAATCATGCGACTACTAGTCAACCTTCTAGTTGATCTCCCATGGCACTTTATCAATTCTCTTGTTCCGGCTTCGCCATCACTCATATAGGATGCGTAACTTATGGATCATGTTGATTAACTAGTAGGCATGCACTGCCAATCGAACAGCTGTATTCTACTTTAAAATGGAAATTGGTATTGGGTTAAACCATATATTGGGTCAGCCACTAATTATGTATTGGATTCAAACAAATACAATACGCTCTTGTTATCCATATCATTCGAATATAAGATCTCTCAATTAGAAAAAAAATATTACTAAACCTTAATACTAGTTAGTTAACTAGACTGCATGATCGATCAATCAACTCAATTCATATATAACTCTATTTTGTTCATTCACTTTATCATTATATGAAAATGTGTTGACAAACCATTTACATGGCATATATGGGATCAGTGATTAAAATTGCGTGACAATACGTTATAATCCCATTAAAGAAAGTATGTCTCTCATCATCCCCTTCTTTCTATATCCCTCATTTCTTCTATGTTTTTTTCTTTTCCTATTTTTAACATAAAAATAAAAATAAAAAAACGAATTAATTATTAAACGGTGGTTAGTTTTACGGATTAAAACTGACTTTGTTAGTCATTGTAGGTCAATGATGATACCTAAACCAGTCCAAGACCAAATACTACTCCTTGTCTATTTATTATTAGTTTGCGCGTTCGTTTTAATAGTCAGCGTTGAACTTAGACCCGCAATTACTACTCATGCAAAAGATCAAACAGGTTGGGCACGCTATAAGCCTATGTACAGCCCCCCTTGGCTCCTAAGTTTATCATGAAATCATAAGTTCAAGCTAACTAGCAACAAGCAGGCAATTAAGATATATTCAACGACGATGATGAAATGCCTAGTAGCTTCCCTTCTCGGCCTCACCATGGCCATCCTCTTCTTCTCAGGTATTATTATACAAACTTCTTATTAATTTCTTTTCTATTTTGTTTCGTATTGTCTATAATATGCATGCCTGCCGGATGCAAATATTAGAGAGGGGTTGACTCCAACAGGTATGGGATGAGAGAATTTGAGAGTGTAGAATTGATCCAGATTAGAATGTTCTGATCATTTTCGAACCATGTCACATACTGAGGATTAAGGGTAGAGGTGCGATTTCCAGATGAATCAAGAAGAAATTTGGGAGGAGCAATCATCGTGCCATCAATAAATCCAGTGAGATTGTAACGGCGGAAGATAGAAGCAAACAACGCACTTCATGTGAGATAGTTCGTTGTGGTGAGCTTAATTGGAACCATAGATCCAATATTCTGGATCATAATCAAAGAAATTGCCTAAGGAGTTGAGGAATTAGGGCAAGAATTCATAGGAGCACGATGAATTTGAGAAGCAAATTCAAAGTAGGGAGATCCAGAAGTCGCCATGGCTGGATTTTTAGGGTTTGGAGCTTCAAAGAGGAAGACAAGCGGGAAGCGGAAGAGAGGAGGATTGATAGGTCGTTAGGCATGGGCGAGAGATACCATAATATATAGGAAAATTATGCTTTCATTTCATAAGGAATAAGATTACATGTTGGTGTATATAAACTAGTGACTAACTCAATTGTATTAACAACTAATTACATCATGTCTAACTAATCACTAACTAATTACAAAAACTGTTAGAACTGCCTTATAACAAACTCAACGGTCTTGAGTAGACTTGTTTACAATATTACCCTTATTACGCTTTACATTGTAACAACGTTAAAAGCAACAGTAGGAAGTCTAAAAGAGAATAACGATCGATGATGAGTAATGTGGATACATAGAAGTGAGCCTGCCAATGCGGTGATGAGGGCATGAGATTAGATGAATCATCATCAAAGTGTATTTATAATAAAATTACAAGTAGTTATGAAAAAGTTCTTAATATAATTTCAAATCGTTTATTTATTTATGGGTAATGCTAGGGAGACAAATTTGCAGACAAAATTTTGGAAACTAAAGGACATGGAAGTTGATGATTGGTTTATTACTTAAGCATTAATAAACGTGATAATTCCTATTGGTAGCATTTCATTTAGTTTACAAATTTAGTCTCCTTAGCATTACCCTTTATTTATTTTTAATTTGATAAATTTTACAATTGTATTTAGATTTCAATAGTCTTAGCATCTATTTTTATGTTGAATATAAATGCAGGTGCACATGCAGCGAAAATGACTTTCACAAACAATTGCCCAAACACTGTTTGGCCAGCAACCCTAACCAGTGGCCAAAAACCTCAATTATCAACCACCGGGTTCAAACTAGCATCCCAAGCTAGCCAGTCAATGGACGCTCCATCCCCTTGGTCGGGTCGCTTATGGGCCCGAACCAGATGCTCCACAAACGCCACTGGAAAATTCTCTTGTGAAACTGCAGACTGTGGCTCTGGTCAGGTTGCATGCAACGGCGCATACGCAGTTACACCGACAACTTTAGTAGAAATCACAATCGCAGAAAACGGGGGTCAAGATTTTTACGATGTTAGCCTTGTTGACGGCTTCAACTTGCCCATGTCTGTTGCCCCACAAGGCGGCACCGGTGAGTGTCAGACCTCGACTTGCCATGTGAATGTTAACGCGGCATGCCCGATTGAGTTACAAGTGAAAGCGGCTGATAAGAGTGTCATCAGTTGCATGAGCGCTTGCATGGCGTTCAACGAGTCGCAGTACTGCTGCACTCCACCGAATGATGTGCCAAGTACATGTCCTTCCACGAATTACTCTCAGTTCTTTAAGAAGCAGTGCCCTGAAGCTTATAGCTACGCTTATGATGATCAAACCAGCACATTTACCTGTAATGGCGGACCTGACTACATCATTACATTCTGCCCAAATGGTATGTCTACTGCCAACCACAATACAAATAATGTGACAATTATGGGACCTTTTGGAGTTTGCAAAGCTTCTGTATCACCAATCTGCAAGTGCTTGAAAGGGTTTTGTTGAACCTTTCAGGTCCATTGGCCGAAGGCCCTACTCCACCAACACCGTCCCCACTAACACCGTCCCCACTTTACCAACCGCCCATTTCGTCAGGTGCACCTTCCTCATTGCCTAAACCGTTAGGTATGGAGTTTTATCACACCAACACCTCACACCTCGAGTATTAGTTAAAGTGAGTTAATCCTATTTATATTGTTAATTCAATTAATTCTATTCACTAACACCGTCCCCCACTTTACCAACCGCCCATTTTGTCAGGTGCACCTTCCTCATTGCCTAAACCGCCAGGTATGGAGTTTTATCACACCAACACCTCACACCTCGAGTATTAGTTAAAGTGAGTTAATCCTATTTATATTGTTAATTCAATTAATTCTATTCACTAACACCGTCCCCACTTTACCAACTGCCCATTTCGTCAGGTGCACCTTCCTCATTGCCTAAACCGTCAGGTATGGAGTTTTATCACACCAACACCTCACACCTCGAGTATTAGTTAAAATGAGTTAATCCTATTTATATTGTTAATTCAATTAATTCTATTTATATTGTTAATACGTGGTGGTACACACCCATTTCCTAGGTCTAATGCTGAATTTTTATTACACTAACACCTCGGTATTAGTTAAAATGAGTTAATTCTATTTATAACCGTCAGATATGGAGTTTTATCACACCAACACCTCGGGTATTAGTTAAAGTGAGTTAATCCTATTTATATTGTTAATTCTATTAATTCTATTTATATTGTTAATACGTGGTGGTACACACCCATTTCCTGGGTCTACTGCTGAATTTTTCAAGTCGGTAGACCAAGGGCCCCACTTCACCATCATGTTCCTGCTTTACCACTGCCCAATCTATCTCAGGGAGCCTCAGAATTAATCGAAGTAGGGTAATTCTATTTAAATTGTTTTTCCTCTTTCCCTCTAGCCGATGTGGGATTCAACAGGTTTGTACCCAAGTCAGACGGGAAATGGTAGCAGAGGAAACTGGACGGGAGGGTGTGTGAGGGAAACCAAATTGTTTTGTGAGAGAGACAAATAAGTTAGTCACATTGAGAGGAAAAGAAGATGATGATGATGGGTTTCTGAAGCTGGTAGGGTTCAAGGTACGAGATTCTCATGAGTTTGTGTCTTTGGATTCTGACAGCACATCCGCCGACTGCAAGACAGTGCGCCTAAATAATTGTTCTTACCAAGCGTATGCACTTGTTTATAAAATAGGGTGTTTGGTCTGGTCCAAACTCCTCATTCATATGTAGGAGTTTCCGTCTGACGGCGTAGATGCTTATATTAGCCTAGCACGCGCAGAACTAGCAGATGAACTAATCATACTAGTGCTTGAAGCCTTTTTTTTTTTTTTTTTTTGTTCAAAAGTGCTTGAAGCCTTGAACAACTCTAATTATCAAGCCGTAACTTTTCTTTTCTATATATCTCATCTTGTTTTTGTTTTGTAAATTTTCAGGTAAAGGAAAGCCCATAAAGTTAATTGTGAGCCTTACAATTGTTTGTTTTAACGGTGTATTGGGTGCCATAGTGTTCGGTTTGTGCAGGATGAGAGCTAAGCAAAAAGGTAATTAAGTGAAAGAGATCGAGGTGTTGGATTAATATAATGCATTAGCATATTATTTCTCAAAACTTTGTTGGTTGTTTCACTTGGATTCAGCGTTCGATATTTATATTTGCAAAATCAGGACACATCAAATTAACCAGGGAACGCATCAAATTAACAAGGGACAACCTACAAGAATATATAGGAGGAAAACATGATCTGTCTGAGCTACGGATCTATGATTTTGATAGCATATTAGTTGCTACGGACAATTTCAGCACAGAAAACAAACTTGGGCAAGGAGGTTTTGGTCCAGTTTATAAGGTAATTACTATTATTTTATTTTTACGATAGATACAGAGAGACTAACATGAATGCAGTGATATATTTGTTGGCTTTGTATAGGGTAAGCTAGCAGAAGGGAAGGAAATAGCAGTAAAAAGACTATCCAGTACCTCAGGGCAAGGTGTAGTAGAGTTCAAGAATGAAATGTTGTTGATCTCCAATCTCCAACACAAAAATCTGGTCAGAATCATGGGTTGCTGTGTTAAAGAGGACGAGAAGTTACTGATTTACGAGTTCATGCCAAACAAAAGCTTGGATACTTTTCTTTTCGGTTAGTTTCACTTGCACTTTACTGCAGTTTCTTATCTTTACATTGTAGTCGGTGTATTGATCGATTATTTGATGATCAGATTCGATGAGAAGAGCAGTGCTTGATTGGGGTACACGTTTCAATATTATTCAAGGAGTTGCTAGAGGGCTTGTTTATCTCCATCATGATTCCTATTTGAAGGTAATACATAGAGATCTAAAAGTGAGCAACATTCTCTTGGATGAGAAAATGAACCCAAAAATTTCAGATTTTGGATTGGCACGTTCGGTTGAAGGGACACAGAATTTAGAAAATACTCAGAGGGTTGTGGGAACACGGTAAGATTCGTGCCTTTCCTGTATATTCTTGAACATGTCATACGCAACATTTTGGAAAAAAACTGCTAATTAGTTGCATCGTTCACATTAGATATATTTTTTGTAACGTTCTTAAAAGGCAGAAACCAAGCACTTATTTCAGCGACATATAAACTAATGAGGTTCATGTTTACACAGCGGATATATGTCTCCAGAGTATGCCATGGGTGGAATATTTTCTCAAAAATCTGATGTCTACAGCTTCGGGATCTTGGTATTGGAGATTATTAGCAGCAAGAAGAATACCGCCTTCTATATCTATGATCAACAGCTAGGCTTACTAGCCTATGCATGGCAGTTATGGAAGGAAGGCAGGGAATTGGAGTTGGTAGATGAAATGTTGGCGGCTGATTCATATTCAGCTCCAGAAGTAATGCAATGTGTGCATATTGGGCTGCTTTGTGTACAGGACAATCCGACGGATAGGCCGAGCATGCCGGATGTAATTTTTATGCTAAATGGTTCCACAACTGTAATTGGTGGTCCACAACCTAAGAAGCCTCTATTCACAATCCAAAACTCAGTCTCTCATCCTCAACCACAGCCTTCGAATAATGAAGCTACAATGACAATGATTGAAGGACGCTAAATATATGCTCCTGACAGTGGTGGTTGGGATTTGCTGATCTACGTGAATTTGGGTTGTGTTTGCTAGGATTTGTAGTCACGTCGTATAATTTTTTGTTTGCTTTCTTTTGATGGTGCCTAGCTAAGCTTGGCCAGTCCTGCTTGCTTCTGCGGCAAGATGCTGAAACTGTAGTTATATTTTTTATTTGGAGGGAATTAGAGAGGATTAGTTATGAAGGAAATTCATCTTTGTAATCCGACATTACGGAGAGATTGAAACTCATAAGTTTTCTTTATGAGTAATTGATCCTTTACATTCTAGGTGGACATAAATTTTTACCTAAATTTAGTGGTGTATCCATTTCAATCTAATTTTAGATATCAAACGAGGCTTTAATATGGCGACTGTTGAACTATAAACTATGGTTGTTAGTGCAACAGCATGGTTGCCTAAACGATGGTTGTTAGGCCCTTATGCCCTTTTCCAACTACAACCTAAATAGCTTTGTACGTGATCAGTGTGGTGGAAGTTGGAACACCAGGGAAAGGAGATCAATGATTGTAGAGCTGAAGTCACTGCATTGTATATCGTTCTGAAAGGAATATTGGAGCTGCTGATGCTGATCAAATCCAATCTCTGTCCTTGGAAAGATACAAGGAAGAAATTATATCATTGCAGATGGAAATAGAAAGTTTAAAATCCAAAACCACAAAAGCTCATGATTTTTCAGAGACCACCAATTTTGAAAAAGAGTCTGTGCAAATGGAAGAAAAGGTCATTGTCGTCCATGAAGATAAAAGTGTAATCCCACCAGTTGATGTAGAATCGAGAGTTGTGGAAAAGGAAGAAGATCAGTCTCTGGCTGCTCAAAGTTTTCATGATAACACAGTTGAACCAAAGGAAGTTTCACATGAGGTCTCTGTCGGTGTTTTAACTGATGATAGTAGTGTCTTGGAGAATGGTGATAGCGTCTCCAAACAAAATGATGAACCATCATTAACCAGCAGCCTACACCTAACGTCAGAGAATCTTAGTCCTGAAAATGTTTCCGAAAAAAGGGCAAGTTTCTTTTACATTTCTTTTATTGCATCAATGCCTTTATAGGAGGACCGGATCAGACATGTTTTTTTTCTTCCAGGGTTGGCTCTTCTTTTGATATCTACCTGGCACGTCCCCTTTTCTTTTCGTTTTGGATGGGACACCCATCTAAATTTTGGATAATAGAACATTGAATGATTTTTCAGAAGCTTTGGAACTGCCCTTCGCTTCTATTCCTATTCTAAAGTTATGCTTATATTTTATAGGGCCTAGAGATCATTCAGATCCTTGCTGATGCTTTGCCGAAGATTGTTCCTTATGTTTTGATCAACCATCGGGAGGTTTGCTTCTTTTACTTATTCAGATGTACATATATATTATATATTTGTGTATAAATTTATTATTATTGGTATGATCATTGTATGATGGATCTTTAAATTGATCCTTTAATAGAAAGATATATATATATATATATATATATATTTTTTTTTTTTTATATTTGTTATGGATTCGCAGGAGCTTCTTCCCCTAATCATGTATGCGATTGAACGCCATCCAGATAGCAGCACTCGGGATTCCTTAACCCACACATTGTTTAACCTAATCAAACGCCCAGATGAGCAGCAGAGAAGAATTATAATGGATGTAGGCTAATATTCAAAGTACCACATTATTTGTAATATAGCTACATTGTTTTGGACTTGTTTCTGAATCTTTAACTGCATTTCAGGCATGTGTTAACCCTGCTAAAAACGCAGGTGAGATGAAAACAGAAACAGAATTGCTTCCCCAGTGTTGGGAACAAGTAAGTTTGAGCCCCACCTTGAGAGGATCTTGTCTGACATTTTCGTATTTCTGATTAGTTTTTCTTATGTTTCTCCGGTCTGTGGGTTGCAGATAAATCATATGTACAAGGAACGCAGGCTGCTAGTTGCTCAATCATGTGGAGAGCTTGCAGAGTTTGTCTGGCCTGAGATTCGTGATTCTCTCATATTGTCCATTATTCAACAACTTATAGAAGATTCTGCAACTGTTGTCCGGGAGGCAGCTGCACATAATCTTGCATTGCCGCTTCCACTCTTCCAGACCATGGACAAATATTTCAAGGTCAGCCTCACTAATATGCTTCAGAGGCTCTCATGGAGAGGAATTCTGACTTGACAGAAATGGCTACAAAGTAAGCTCTAGAACATGTTGATGCCACATGGTCTAGGGAATGGAGAATTTTCTCCTCGTAATATGATGACTGACAAGAAATAAACGGATAAAGTAGTCAAGGATATGTTTCTCCAATATTGTTAAATTGATTTACTATAACTGCTTATGAGAATTTTGTTATTCGGTAGTGGACATGTTCAATTGCCTGCATTTGAGTGGCTACATGTCGACTGCTTTCCTGCTTTAATACAGCTCGCATGCTTGTTACCTCAAAAAGAGGACAATTTGCACAACCAAATCACCAAGGTATCTTTCTCTATCTTTGGTGTCCTTTTTATATTACACCATCAACAATACTTTATTAATTGGTTCTGATCTAAATGTTGGTAATGCAGTTTCTATTGGCTGTATCAGAACTCAGCGGGATTCTTATTTAACACTCATAATGCTGCCTGTATTCTTGTTAGCTGTTGGGGAAGATGCTGAATAACATTTTTCCCATCTGCAATCCATTCCGGAATCAAAGGTAATAATTTAAAGTCATTTGAAATCCTTTAACACCAGTGTTGTGTGTGCTCTTAATTGTGGATATATTATTATCTACATAACAGGTTTGAGGCCAAGAACGACTGTGGCTAAGAGATTGGCTACTATGTGTGTCCTACCTCTTCTCTTGGCTGGTGTTTTGAGTGGTCCAAGTAAGCATGAACAATTGGTGGAGTATCTGAGAAAATTATTAGTTCAAGGTGTTGCAAATCAATCTACGAAGTGCAATGCTGAGATTGTTGATGCTGTTCGCTTCCTTTGGTTAGTAAAGCAATAAATACCCTTTACGACTAACTTTTTGACTGAAGGGTTTTCCATAATGCAGCACATTTGATCACCACAGCGTGATATTTAATTTACTCTTGGAAATGGTTGTCAGCTCCAGCATAGGTACGAAAATAAATGCCGCCAATCTGTTGAAAGTCATTGTAAGTATAGCCATTCTTGGAGTCCTAAGTTCTTTATGTGTCTGATTAAGCAATAATTAATTGGTTTCCTTCGTTTAAAGGCTCCATATATCGATGCGAAAGTTGCATCTACACATATATTACCTGCCCTAGTTACTCTGGGCTCTGACCAAAACCTGAGAGTGAAGTATGCAAGCATAGATGCCTTTGGAGCAGTGGCCCAACATTTTAGAAATGACATGGTATGAGTTCTCTTCCTTCTGCAATTAAGATATTAGCAATCTTAATCGAACTCCCAGATTGTTAATAAGATACGTGTTCAAATGGATGCTTTTCTTGAAGTTGGATCTCAGGAAGCTGCCATTGCTGTGGTTCGTGCAGTGGTGGTTGCTGTACCACATACAACGGAGAGACTTAAAGGTTATATCCTGTACATGTTTTTTCAAAATTACTAGTAGCACATTTTCAGCAATGTGTTCATAAGCGCACACACATTATTTGTTTGGGAAATTTTCTATTAGATTCATTATTGAATAGTCATTGGGGTACTTTGTTTCTTTGACATCATCATGTACATCTTTTGTCCAAGATTTTTCAACCGACAGCCACTCCACCTTCAAGTGACTTGATGCGCCGGCGTGAGAGAGCCAACGCATTTTGTGAATCAATCCGTGCTCTGGATGCAACAGGTTTTCTTTTTCCTATGACCCAGATGTTCTATTTATTGTTAGTTTATTAATTTCTCCTCTTTCTACACCGTTACTCACCTTGAGCTACATTATCATTCACTTCCTTCATATATATAGGACATGACACATGTCCACTTCTTGGGAACACGTAAAAGAAATTTGGTTTGATTACCTAGATTATTTTCAGACTTAAATACGTTATGCATTTTATCAAAGAGAATCTGATGCTTTTTTATCCCTAATTTTACTCCAAACGAGGTTATGTTTCTTTAGCCTGCAAACAAACACCAAATGTTAAACGACTATAATGTTTAATATAATACACAGATCACCATTTCTTCTAAGTTTTCGAGCAGCCATGCTTGAAACCATGTGTTTATGTAAAAACAAGATACTTGAGTAATATCCCGAGATCATATCAGTTTTCACTTTGATGACCTTATATACGTAGTTGGAACTTTAAGATCATGTGTCGAAACTAGTTTTTAGTGGTGCCCACAAATTGCGCCATGCCAAACTGTAGCTTTATAGGATTCTTGACTGATTGGCAATCTGTGTTTGGACTTTTGATGACCTACTATTATGTTAAAACATTGACCTACAGTTATAGTTTATATTCACAACCCTATGTTCACGATTTTTCAGCTTTTGTAATGTGTTGCTGATATTGATTTCAAATTTACGTAATTAATAAAGATATTTCAGCAACTAGTGTTCGGGTCTTTCTTATGCCTGCGATACAGAACTTATTTAGAGACCCTGATGCGCTTGACCCTGCACACAAAGAAGCCTTTGAAATTATAATGAAGGAGAGATCTGGTGGAACTTTTGATACTATCAGTAAGGTGATGGGGGCTGGGCTTGGATCCTTCGCGAGTAGTTTCTTTGGTGAGGGTGGTCTACTGGGAAAGAAAGAAAGTCCCGAGCCACCACCAGAGCCAGTTGAGTCCCCGAAGGCTGCACCGTCACCACCTGCAGAAGACACTAGACTAAGGCGAATCATGCGGGGAAATTTCACTGACATGCTCAGGGGCAAAGCAAAGGGACCAGAGGAAACTCAGAACCAATAAAATTTGATTCGTCTCTGCAAGGGGTGGCAAGAGTTTTACTTAGCGTCTCGCTTTCTCAGGTGAAGATCATCCAGTTAATGCAAACTAGTTATTCATTTTTTGGTGTACTCGTAGAAAAAAAAGGGTTTCCAGAAAGAAAGAGCAATATTGTGCTGCATTTTTGTGATTCTGGTTTTAGAGTGTAGATGGACGGTGGATTTGCTTTGAGTCTAGTCCAAAATCCGATCTGTTGTTTTTTCCTACTTTGTTACTTCTTATAGGGAGTTAAAATTGTAGAAATTATGAACAATATATTGGTAATTTGATGGAATTATGTCTAATAAATTATATAACCAAAACATTTTCTTACATTCTTTAGTTTAACTTATTAAGGCTTTAATTTTACATATTGTGTAATGCTACGGTGTTTAACCGTTAAATTTGATTTACACAACTGTTTTGGTCATTCATGAGGACACCCTCTTAACTGTTGGATTTGACTTTAATAAAATTGTGTAGTTAAGATTGTGTGACTTGTGATTTAGTCTCAATCACACAATTTCATTAAAGTCAATCCAACTGTTAAGAGGGTATCCTCAGTTTTTTGGAAAAAATGGGGATCCCTTTTGTTAAATGGCCTGTATATATATACACACACATACATACATATATATATATATATATATAGTATACTTTCTCTCTTATTTATATTGAGTGGAAAAATTTGGTATTCCTTCAGTCAAATTATATTGTAGGTCTGGAATTTTTTGACAATTTTATCCTACACGAACCGCCACAAGTATAATAGGTTTCGGGTCACTATGTTAATGAGTCGGGCCGTTAGCCGTACTCGTTAAGAGCTAACTAACAAGTCAGGTCGTTATCGGGTCATCCATTAAGAATCTGATGAGATAACATTTGGTCGATATTAGGCATAACAATTTCTTGAATGACCGGTTAACCCGACAAGAAACGACGTATGATATGTTAAGAACTTGTTAAAATAACAAGTTTGACAAAATACGAATTGTTAAAATAACAGGTATGACACAAAAACGACACGAACACGAGTTGTTTGTCAACCTAATATCTTGTACATCCACTTTCTCGAAATAATGCTTCTTATTCTCGACCCAAACGCACCAAATTTTCCCCAAGTTTAGTTTCCCAATTAATCATTTTCATAATCATACAGTTGGGAATTATTCCTTCTCCATGGTAGTATTCTACTCCGCCAAAATCATTGAAATTTAGAAAGCCTTGTAATTATAGTTGCAACGAACATATAGTTTGGGAAATTCCTTCAGGATCGTCATATTAGTTATCCAATTTAATCCGTCAAATCATCAAAACTTAGAAAGCTCTTCAAAATAAAGAAAACTAATGAAAAAGACTTGAAAAATTTTAGTTTTAATAAAAAAAAACTATGTTATAAATTTTGTTTAATGATTAGTACAAGGCCCATATTAAAGTAGTCCAACTAAAAATGGCTCAACTATAATAAATTATGATTTGTCGATTTTACCCCTAACTTTTTTAGGTTGAGTTCCAAATTTTCGTCGTTTATGGAGTTTATCGTTGTTTTGCAGACCTTCTTCTTTTTCTTTGAAACAAGAATATAGATCCCCATGCTATTTAATTTATATTTTGTATTATTTCGTTGAAATGTGATCGTCGTTATTATTCATAGTGTATTCGAGGTACTGTTTTTCAATTTTTCTTTGTCAGTGGAGTTCATCGTTTGTTTCTCCAAAAAATAAATTTGAGATTTGCATGCTATTTAATAATAACGACGGGTCACTGTTTCTGGATTGTAAAAATAAACAGTTTCTGGATTTTAAGTAACACTGTTTCTAGAATCTAAGTTACTGTTTTTTAATCCAAATGAAATAGACACAATGTTTCTTAAATATAAGTTAGAAAATAAATAGCGAAATTCACTGTATTTGGATTCAAAGCAAAATAAGCACTCTGTTTCTTAAATATAATCAACTGATGTATGAAAGAAAAGAAAAAGTCAAAGGTTAAAACATAGACTGTTTCTGAAATTTAAGTCACTGTTTCTAGAATCTAAGTTACTATTTCTGAAATTTAAGTCATTGTTTTTGGAATTTAAGTCATTATTTCTGGATTTTGGTTTTGTTCTTTCCAGATACAGTGTTTGTTTGTGCATAGACAAAACAAACACTGTATCTAATTTTTTTTCTTCCCAAGAACAATGTTATGTTTTGGTTCTTTTTTTTTTTTTTTTTTTTTTTTTTTTCTTCCAAGACACTTTTTCACCGGTTTCTACCATTAAACTTATTTGAACTTGTTTCGTCGGCTTTGTTCCGATGAATGCCTTATTTGTCAACTTTGATTTGGTTGTTTTTGAAATGGGGAAATTCGATTTGATAGGAAGACAGAGAGTTATTATGGCGGTTTCATGCTTGGTTGAGGTTGGTGAAGAATAATATGAAATCATTTAGGGGTATTTACAAAAATGTAGATTTGTAATGGGTTGGGCTTGTAAGTTTAACCTGGACAATAGTTTTAGATGGTTTTTTTTATTAAACTTTGAGTCCTTTTGGTTAAATAAGATTTTTGAATGATTTTTGGTTAAATATTTGTTGGCCCAAATCTTTTTCATTAAAGCTCCCTTATAGAGCCTATTAATATAGAGAGTATCTCCATTTTGAATACTAAAATGGACTAAACCCCATACATAAGGAATACTATTTATCATACTTTAATAAAAAGATAATAAAAAAAAAAAAAAACTGATGTGGATAATCAGCAAATGAACCTAACGTACTAAAATGAACTAAACCCCGTAACGACTCACAAAAAATTCAAATTAAGAAGGTTTCAATTAAAGATTTTGGTCTATCAAGGCCGGAATCCAAAGTTTCCCAAATTAAAAAAAAAAATAGTTATGACAAGAGTCTTCTCATCCACCACGGCATTGCCTAGTCCCTTGTATAAATATGCAGTGAGGGACCTTGCCTAAATGCACCATATACAATACTCTCTCTCTCTCTCTCTCTCTCTCTCTCTCTCTCTCTCTCTCTCTCTCTCTCATTATAAATCTACAATTTACCAAGATGAAGCTGTCATCAGGTAGTTTGGCGTTCTGTTTGATGGTGGCGATGGTGGTGGCGTTATGCGACGAGGCGAGGACGGCAGAGGCAGTGACATGCAGTCCGTTGGAGTTGAGTCCATGCCTGGAGGCCATAAGGTCAGGGGCACCACCTTCAGCCACATGCTGCGAGAAGCTGAAGGAGCAGCAACCTTGCTTCTGTGAATACATCAAGAACCCAGTCCTCAAGCCATACATTGACAACCCCAACGCCAAAAAAGTTGCTTCTGCCTGCGGCGTTCCCTTCCCTCAATGTTAGTCACTCATCTTCTGAGATCATGAAGAAAGTAATAATACATCTTACTTAAATATTTTAATAAAAAAGAATGATGAACTAATGTCATTGTTCATGTGTGGCTACCATATATGTACCATCAATCATTGTACTATGATGAGAAAAAACGGTACTCAGTTAATGAAAAATGTTTGATTGCATCAATTACAGGTGATGAATTGTGCTGGTGGTTACGATCTTTTTTTTTAGTTTACTATGTCTTTGGTAGTAAAATTCTTTGTATTTAAAAAACATTGGTGTCTAACTAAAAATTATTTATTTATGATTTAACATAAAAAAGGATACCACATAGAAAAAGATTTATGTTTCATTCATTTCCAAATATAACATTTATAGTTGGTCGAAATACACAATCTAACAATACAATGAACCTAATTCTTACAATGAGCCTAATTCATACAATGCACTTAATTTAGAAGATTACGAAGAGATTTTAAGAAGTGAGACAATCTTGTAATATATATAGGGTCTGCCCTAAGGGAAGCAAGTGGTGCCACCACACAAGGCTCCCAAAAGGGAAGGGCCCCGGATTTTTCAAATTTGCATGCATATACGTATATATAGTAGTATTGTTGAATATTACAAACTTAAGTCTTAGTGCAAGTGGTATTATTGCTACTTTACATCGGCCTAGGGGATAGGTTCGAAATTCATCTCCATCATTTTTTTTTTCAGTTTATTTTTATTTAATGCATAAGCATCCACAAAATAATATAAAAATTCTACACAATAACATGAAAATTCGAACCCTAACCCTCTAAATAGTTAAAAAAAACAATATGCCACCTTTCCACTTGTTGATTTGTTAATTTTGTTTGTGCTATTAGAATTTTTGAAGCTCAAATGAAAACTAAAAAAAAAATTTGAACAAAAAAAATAAAAAAATAAAATTCTTAGTACTTTTTAGGATCTCCAATTCACTTTCGTATAGGCCCCTGAAATCTCAAGACCGGCTCTGTGTGTGTATATATTTATGTAATAATTTAATTATAACTTGGCATTCTATATAATCAACCATAATCCTCAAAATTCATGATTTTGGACCCGAATGTGGAAGAGCTTGCTGCTTTTGAGTGAGGCGCGGGTGGAGCTTGGTATTTTGCTTTCTTTGAGTGGCATTAGCGTTGGGGGTTTTGGGCATGATATTGCCATGATGAATACTCATAAAGGTCAATCAAATTTAAGACTTTTGTACGTCTAAGTGAATGCTTTTAATCAACTGAATTATAATCTCTTTACAATATTTTAGTTACCAATTCATGAGGTTAGAATAGCTACTTGATCAGTTGAAGCTAGGACTTGATCATATTAATGGCTTGTGTTTGTGAGTGCAAAACATAGTTTAATTATTATTCAACCCATTTAATTAGTCATTTCAACCCACGATTAGCTCAAAGATCCTATAAAATTCTTGTTCATTTCTGGTTGTGTTGTCCTTAGTGTAAAATTTCGTTACCTTAACTAAACTAGACTGAGATAGTACATACTGAATGAAGAATATTTTACTAACAAACCCCACAGCTCACCTAGTAGAACAACACAATGTTTTTTTTTTTTTTTTTTCGGTTTTTTATTTTTTGTTATGTCGTTCCTTGCACTCTACACAAAATTTACTCTACCTTTCGATACACTCTTAAATGTTGTACTTTTCGCCGTTAATAATTATATTCTTTGCTGCCAATTCTTTATGCATTCAGAAGGTATCTTCTTTCGTTTATGTTATTTGTAGGTTTTCGTTGAAAAATAGGGAATTGGAGATTAAGCGAAACTCGAGGATGACTTAACGATAATGTTTGTTAGCAACGAGTAAAATAATATTAAATGGGGAAAAGTGAACAAGCCGGTCTGGGTGGTGTAGTCGGTTATCACGCTAGTCTCACACACTAGAGGCCCCCGGTTCGAACCCGGGCTCAGACATCTATATAATTTTTTACTTTGTTTTTACCCAACGTAATGACTTACTCTGTTGGGATGCAGATGTTTCATCTAACTGCTCACATTTTTCAAGTAACCTGTGTAGTTTGATAACATAAATTTATCAATTGACGTAAAATGTACAGTTCACTTGCCATACCAATACGGTGCAAATGTGTGGTCTTCTTATATGATCCTTCTCGTAAATTCGTAATGGTCGATTTGTTCATTTTTGTAGTTTCTTTTTTGGGCCGTAGCCCGTCCAATCCAATGTTCCAAAACAATAACAAAATATGGCCTGGCCCACACAGAACTTTGTTTTGGCGGGAAGAGATTCCCTCCATGTGAAATTTCCAAATTCCGAATGCCCTCCTCCCCAAAACCTCAGAACCTCATATGCTGTATACATTCCGATCTCTCTGAATCTCTCAGACCAAGGAGAGAAACGAAATGCCCCAGGAGGACGCGCAACTGACATCTGCAAAAAAGGCTTACCGGAACTCGAAGGCGGTGGGGAATCACGAGGAGGAGGCTCGGTGGGCAAACACAATCGGCGACATGTTGAAGAAGAGAGGGGAGTACGTGGCAGCCCTGGAGTGGCTCCGAATCGACTACCACGCCTCCGTCAAGTACTTGCCCCAAAAACATTGCCTCCCCACCTGTCAGTCTATGGAAGAGCATATCTTCGCCTTTGTGCTTCAACGAGGCTCTTGTTTATCAGGAAACTTCTCGATTTGGGTTCGATTCGTGCGAATTTCAATTCGATTGGAGTGTTCAGTTTTGTTTCCCCTAATTTTTTTTATTTATATTTTGTCGACAGTGGGAAGGTTTTTTGGTTGCTGAGAAATTTGGGGAAAACGAAAACAAAATAAGGGATTTGGGTGAAACGGTAACCAACCTCTTATTTTGATGGAAAAAATGAGTTGAGTGGAGGGTTTAGTGAGAAAATGCATGAAAGTGAAAGGGGTGAAATTACTCAGCTCAAGTTTTTCGATTTGTTGAAAAGTTTTAGGAAAGAGTCAAAGACCCATTGAGATTTTCATATGGTTACCATCAGGGGAATTGAATTGTTTGGCATTTCTTATTTTGTTTATTTTGGAATGGTTGTATGATTTGTAATTTTGAGGAAATTTTTTTTGAGACTTTTCCTGTTTTTGCAGCAGAAAAAACGTTTACAGCTTGCTGACGACGAGGTAATGGAAGACGATGCTGGGCGCAGCAGGTGTTGAATAAGAAGAGTATTCAAGATAACTCTAATGATCCCAAGAAGAAGAAAATAGAGCACACTCTTAAAGAAAACTCACAAAACAAACTAATTAGCAAAGCTTTTCTTATTTAGCTCTA